TGAGATAAGATATGATAAGATCTTGAGATAAGATATGATAAGATCTTGAGATAAGATATGATAAGATCTTGAGATAAGATATGATAAGATCTTGAGATAAGATATGATAAGAAACTTGAGATAAGATATGATAAGATCTTGAGATAAGATATGATAAGATTAGATAAGGGATCTCGTATGGAGCGAGATCCCTTGAGATCAGTTATGATCTACTTAAATGCCGAGCTGACGTCGCGTAACGCGTGCTCGAGGTCATCATGCGTTGTGATGTCGAGCTCGGAGCTCGGCTTCACAGCACGGACAGTACACTAGCCCCCCGAGCTCCGAAGACCATAGGTCGAGGAGTTAACACCGAGTTCGCTGGAGGGGAGTGACCTTTCGCGCATGCTTGCCTGTCAAGATGCCTTGTGTTGCAACTGTCGCCTCGTTCTCGAGAACGTGTAGGCGGCATGGGAACAAGATTGTATTTTTATCTATTTCATGACGTGTCCACTTTGGGCCGATGTGGTATTCCGATGTCCATGTTTCATGGCCGAGCTGAGGAACTCGGCAATGATGGGTTTACTGCTTGGTCAAGCTGGTAAACCTTGGCCCCGAGTTCGTGATTCGTACACGGAGAGATAGACGGAGGTTGCCACCTAGAGATTCATGGTTGATGATTGGTCGAACTACTTTGGGAACACATTCCCACTTACTTGAACGTCGGTGTTTTGAATTTGAAGTGAAACCTTTATAGATTCTTGCTTCTCAAAGGGAATACTCAAACTGCCTTTCGATTTTCAACTCGAGCAGGCGTTGCTTTTTTTTTATTTTTATGTATCCCTAATTTTTGCATAGGATGTATCCTATCGGGATTTTGATTCTTTTTTCTTTGCCCTAATTTTTATAGAAAAGTGCTAACGAAACCTTGATTCATACTTGAAGAACAGCAACAATGTGCGAATGAGTAACAAAGAGTTCATCCTTCTGCAAAAGACAAAAAAACGATTCAGTAACAAAGGAGAGGGAGAGGGTTTACAGAGAAAAAAATGAAAAGTGATGAAGAGTGAATGCGCGCGGTATGCCTCGCGCTCTCTTATTCAAATTTGCGTCCTTTTTTACGTCGGACCTGGTAGGGTCCGACGTAAAATGTCAAATCTACGTCGGACACAACGTACCTCCGACGTAGATTTGACTTTTTACGTCAGACCCTACCAGGTCTGACGTAAAAAAGTTGGCAAAAATTAC